CTTACATTTGTCTCAATATCATAGAAATATTGCGAAAATACACATTTTAATCTAAGATATATACTATTCAGAAGAAGCAGATTTCAAATTTCAAGGATGAATTAAAACAAGAATTGTTCCATACATCAAAATTTATTTCTCTTAATTATAAGCAATTTATAATTTTCCACCAAATATAATCAGACAGAGAAATAAAATGTTACAGAGAAGCATCTCTCACTTTTTCGTTTCGTTTCAAAATGTAAAAATTAAATTTAAAAAATAAACGATCTTTTTGCATATAAATATATCTTTCCATTTTTATATTTCCAAGTTTTACATTTGTCTTCCAGTCACTAGAATTACCCCCTTAAATTTTCTACCCACTTCCTCAACCTCCACGCGCGCTAAACTCACACAGTTGAATATATTAATCTTTCAATTGAAACGAACGAACGGTTTCTCGTCTGCCTACACGTACAATGATCCATGTTCAGATTTCGCGTACAATGAAATCAAGAACGGGTTATGTGCCCCTCACTTTGGCCACGACATTCCTCCTCTTTCCACCGAGTTTCTTCCCTTATAAAGATCGCTGCATAGAAGAATGACTTTCTCCGCAACTTGCTCGCAAGAAAGTTCCTTCGAAACTCTCCCACACAGTTTTCCACACGTGCAATCAGTTTCCAAGAGCAATCGGTGTGTTTCGACAGAATGTCTCCTATGATGGAAAGAAAGTATTCCTGTTTTCTTTCACTTCTTCCTTTTCCATGAAAACAAAAAAAAATGTAGAAAACAATTACTTTATTCGCAAGAAATAATAATTTCTTCCTCTTCTTGCAATCTGACAATTTTTCTCAGATTGGGAGTTTAAATGTTTGATAAATTGTCAATGAATGACAAAGATGTTTTTTTTGTAATACTTGCTTTTTATCATCTCTGTTGATGGTGCTGATAATTTTTTAAGTAGTAAAGAAGTAGTTTGTAAAAAGAATTATGGAATTATTTGCTGGAATTGTGCAATATTTTTGAGAAAAGAACACAAAGCAAAGATATTTTGATTCTAAGTTAAGAATGTTAGATCACGTCATATATAAATATGACTTATGATAATAAGTTTTTGGCACAAAAATATTTTAACAACTGATTAAACTTCGATATTTAGAATATTTTTATGTTCATGATGTGTATTGAAGTATAGTATAGATAACAAAAGATAAAAAAACTGTTTGCTTAATACAAACTGTTATTTCAAAAGAAATATCGAAAAAAAAAAAAGAATTTTTATGTTAAAAAGCGTATTTGATTACTTGAAGTTTTTAAAGAATGAATTTTAATGAAGAAAATTATAATAATATTCAACTATTAAAAAAAAAAAAAAAATAGAAGTAATGAATAATTGAAGAAATGCATGCGAATAAATAAATATTTAAATATATTGAATACTAGTAATTAATAGTTACGTGGCGCTAGTGTCGATTGTTAAAATTGAAATAGCAATTTTTTAAATAAATATTATATAATTCTATATTCCCTTAATAATACATTGCATAAATTTTTTTTATTATCTGATTGCACATTCTTCTTTATCTAGATTTCATTTTCACAGTTTCAAACTTTTATAATTATGTAGAAATATTTACCTAAATTATATCAAGTAAATAATGATAAATAATAATGTGCAGATATACTTTTATTACATGTATAATTTTATTATTGTAAATTTTTTTTTTATCTTTCAACCATCCATATATAAATAAACTAATTATTTTTATTATTAAAAAAAAATAATAAGCGCGATTTCAATGAATTAAATGATTCCTATTACATATCTTTCGGATCTCTGTTTCCTGTTACAAGAAATATAATAGGTGTTTCTTCGTTACCCGATAATATAAATAGATATAACGTATCAAGTCGGTATTGAACGCAGGCGAGTTTATCCTGTATCCAGTCTCTCGAATTTTTCCATTTTATTCTCGCCTCGAGCTTGATACTCTATGATTTCTCGTTGCAAGCATCCTTCTGAACGACTCACGATAGCAACATCTACCGTCGTACGTTCCGGTTAAACGGAGAAAAGGTGTGAAAGCGTGAAGAAAATTTTCGTTGCAACAAATCCTTATTTCCAACGATTTTCGAGTTTCTTCTCTGGTACGAGATGATGGCTTCCGCGGATTTACCGGTTTACCACTGCAAGATTGAACTTAAACCTAACCTAACCTTAAACATAAACCAATTAAACGGGATGCAATGGCGGCTCCTAGAGATTTTATCTAACCGGGAACGTTTTCTTTTGTTTACGTGGGCGATTTTAAATCTCATGGAAATTGTAATCTTTATTTTATCGTTCGAATTTTATTTCGAGGAAAATCTAATCTTAATGGAAATTGAGATTCTCGTGGGAATTATGATGACACATTTCCTGTGAGAATTATGTAAGGGAAATATATATAATTAAAGAAATTACAAAAAAATAAATTAATCGTTTTTATACTATATATGTTACGTGTAAAAAATTTTTTTATTTCAAACAATAATTTATTTAGAAAATTATTTTAAATAATGTTAATCGTTTATTTGATGAAGTAAATATTCTATTGGAGAATTTATTGTTTAAGAAAATATTAATATCCATTTTGTTTATCGAATGATATTAGAGAATATTATAGAATAAAAAATTAAATAAGTAATAATGTTGGTAAGAAACATTAACATTGCATATTAATGAATACTCATTTCCATTAAAATGAAATAATAAATAATTCATTTCAAATATTATTATTAATTTAATTTTATATATTATTTTGAAAAATAGATTTTTTTAAACAAATTTAAAGATTAATTTCAAAAAAAATTTTAAATTCCTCAAAAAATTTAGTTTTTTCGTATGTAAATATTATTCGTTAGTTTGGATAGCAGTTTAAATACGTTCTTATCTCGTGTTCAGATAGTCCGTCATTTGAATAATCAAACTTCGAATAATCGACGATAATCGATATTCTATTGTACTTTAAAGAATACTTGATATATCGCGTGTTTACGTTCTTATAATAGATTTTTTTTTTTTTT